CTAGAGTCGATCAATTTTTCAATTCAATATTTTTCTAAACTAAAAACTAACACGACAATAGGGGTTTTGTTATTATATTCCCTTATTACATACACTAGGAACCCACTTCATATTTAAATAGCATATCCCGGCTATATATTAACATAAAAGATATGTATTGAAGTTTGAGTTGAATATTGTTAATAAGTTGAATATTGAGTTTCTGAGTCGTGGTGGTATATACATGTACGAGTATTGTTAATAGGACTTTTAATATCTTCCCCTCCTACATTTTGAAGACCTTTCAGTGTTGTGTATGCGTATACGTGTATACTGACAGTCAAACCGTTATTTATACTTCATAGTCAGTGGTGGCCTAGTGGTTAATGGGCCTGCCTCTCATGCATGAGGACGCGGGTTCATTCCTGGCCCGGGAAATTACCAATGTGATTTTTTTTTGTATTTAGACATCACTGATAATGCATTGATGTCAGGCAGGCGGCCGGTCGTAAAAACTATTAGCCAAACCTATTCATAACATGTAAGGCAGACCCTGGCTAAAGCTGGGAAATTGCCAGATAGAAGAAGTCGACACCGGTATTTATACTTATCTATATTGACCCTTAAACGGCGATAGGCAGAAACTAGTTCACTAGACTGCTAAAATAATGAAATGGTAACCATCTACGGTTTACTGCTCATTAACAAGAGTAAATTGGATCTGTGGTTAATGCTGAGACTTTGACGGCCTTAAGTAATATTGACGGTGTGGTCGATCATTGCATCAGTGTAATTAATCAATCTACATATATCTAACACTTGGTATATAAATATTTAAAGTTATAAATGTTAATACAATAAAACAATTAACAATGCTAAGGATATTATTAGGCCTTTAAAAACGGTGCCGTTGTTATCAAAACCACGACAGTAATCTCCGGATATATTAATTTCTTGCATCAAGTCGTGTATCGGTATCAACTAAAAAAGATATTGCACCTGTTAGTGCTTATAGTATTATCTTGTTATCCTTATTTTAATATTTTGTGTCAGATTATATTATTAGAAATTGATTTGCTAAAAAACTATATTAGGTTAATTGGCTTTTTAATTTTGAAGAAATTTTAATGTTAATTTGAGGATTATTAGAACGCACTGTGGTGGAAACAATATATGTACAACGGTAGTGTAGTCGAGTGAGAGCGATAGAGCTAGTGCCTTAAAAATAAATAATAGTTCAAAAAACTAAAAAAAACACGCTTGTATTTTCAATTACAAGGGAATTATATTACAGTAGAAGAAGGTCAAACTATCATTCATAGTTAATCACCTCAAAATTTTACAAAATCACCTCAAAATAAGTTAAAATCATTTTAGTGGCAAATATGAGGGAAAAGACATGAAATCTAGTCAAATATATCTTATGCTTTTTACTCTGAGTTAAATTATTCTGTTAATAAATTTTATTTATATTATTTAGTCCAAAATCATTTTTCTCATTTGGTTGCCTTTTTAAGACAGTTCTTATAAGAGGTTTTATAATTTTTGCTTTATATTTCGATAGGTAAAAATTAAAAGATTTATCTCTTAAAATTTTCAAAGTTATTCATAAAATTTACAAAAAACATTATTTAAAATTATGATAAAAGTAATATATTTTAAAATAAACAATGTTATCGTATAGCGAATACCCCTTTAGTTGATTTTTTCAGTTAATCTAACACAGAACATCGTAATATTAGAACTTGATTTAAAGTATGATTTACTTTAGAAGATGTAGAGGTATCGATTATGTCATTTGATCCAGCCATTGTACGCTACATAGCCACGATTAAAGTTTTGTGAAACAATGTCGTAGTTGCTTAATACTTTCAAAGTTCGCATGGCATCTCTAATTTTCAATATAATATGTAGTTCAATATATGACTTGGCATTTTACTAATTTTGTTGTTATTACATACTTGTGCTTTATGACGTCAAATTTGATAAGTTTCTTTTATCTTATTACAATTTATCTAACACTGTTTGAAATTATATCTTTATATAAGCTATATTATTTTTATGCTATTTATAGTACATGGATTCTTATTTACTCTGTTTTGTAACCACTCAAATTCCTCTAGTATTATTTCAATATAATTCGTTTCATTTTATATCAACAAAAAGTGGGAATATGAACGTTAATAATTTATTTTACAGTATTTATAATACTTACTCAAAAAACATAAGGTCTTCTAATGTAACTTTTGAGATCCAGAAAATGTTTATTTTGTGTTAAAAACATAAAATATTTTAAAACAAATATTGGGTAATAGAATCTTATTATTTTAAGATTGAGCCAAAATTCTGGGTTTATTTCAAACAAGACTCCAATAAAGATCTTAGACCAACCAATTTTCGTTATTAGGAAATAAGAAAAGTTATAGATAAGGCCTGCTAGCAAGAAAATAACAAAGGCTAAGTGACCCTAAAACTCAAATGGCAAAGAACAAATGGAGGGAGCCTTCATGTAACACGTTGAAGAAACAGATACAGGAAGATAATTTACAGTTTTAGTTTTATAATAGAAGTACATGTACAATTAAATTCTATTAGAGAGTCTTTTTACACTAAACTGTAAAAAAAAGACTCCTTGAAAGTTGCTTTCCATATAATTCTTCAGAAATATATGGTTTTTAATACATTAACTATACAATCGATACATACTTTTAGGTAAAATTTTTAATGTAACTTCTAATATTGATTCAAATTAACTGGTGAGTCTGTAACTTGAAATAGTCTATTTTATACAGATATTTAAGTTAATAAAACAAACAATTTGCAGTAAAAGATCTTCAGAACAATAAAGAACAAGACGTAAGACATACGAATTGAAACTTTTTAATGAAAATTTATAGTGCCTGTAAGATTAAATTATTTAAAAAATATATATAAAGAATAGTTACTTAGACTGACGACTATTAAGATCTCTAAATTTGATCAAATTGTTTCATTGTAAAACGTTTTTAACATTCATATATAAATATTTTTATAAGGTTTTTTAATATCTATAGTGGGTCTTTAATATTATTATAGAGGTATGGGTTTAAAAATAAAATATTACATAAAATATTTGCTCTTTTTACTGATGTTAACTATACATTAATTTATATTGTAAATTGTAAAACAATCAAAATGACTAAAAAACAAGACGTTCGTAGTTTTAAATATAATTAATATAATTATTAAATTAATATTACACAATAACACTTAATTTATGATTATATGACCCCACATAGAAGGTAATACCTGTCTATTATTATTATACTTGTATGTGATAAATATATTATTGATAATTACAAAACGATAAGACAATGATTTATCATCCATAAGAAGCAATATGATAAACACTAATATGTTATGATGCAAATTGAAGTAATGGAGAATGTGGTTACGTATAATTTAGCATTACTACCTTTTTGTATTGAAAACAGTTACTAATTTTTGTTTCTGCCTTCTCCTAGTTAAGGTATTAAATACAAAAACAAGTTAAATGAACAATAAAATAGAAGAAAAACAAAAATATAAATATTTTTTTTTGCTTTATCTTACCTTACTTTATGTTACATTTTTTTAAGAAATATATACCATTTATTTTATTATTTCAATCAAGTGTAACTGTATCCATAATACCGATAAGCAAGCATTGCCCTAATTACTTTAAGATTATGACGATAATAATCTCCGGATGCATAATTTTTTATCGAATTATATAAGTATGGATATAAAAAGGTATTGCCCCTTTTATTATTTTTCCATGAGATAAGATTATTTTTATTACGGGAATCCGGTAGGGTTTAAAATTCTATTTGGTTTCTAGCTTTTACACCATTTCAACTCTAAACCTTTTAACTTCTCGTTGAGAGTAAAGCTGTTTAAAAAGTGACAATAAAGGCCGGCTTTTCGTGCAGTTAATTGCATCTAGATGATGTGGATGAAATTCAACCCTACCCAGGTAGTGCGATGATAGAATGGTGATGAAGGCACTTTATCAAACAATTCCTCAGAACATTCCCTGTTGTATAGACGGTAGAATACCCAGAGTGAGCTCACATCCCCTTGGGGGGTTTAAGGGTTATAGAACCGTCTTTCGTCTGTTGCCTAAAATCGTCTGTGAGCATGGGATCGATGAAAATACGAACTGCCTGACGTTATATGGAATCAAGTGGAAGAAGTTGGTATTGTGGGGCACCGGACCAGAGGAGAGAACAATACTCCATGTGGGGACAAACCCGTCCTTTATATAATAAAAACAAGTTTCCCTGTGTGAATGGACCACGTTCGACACCTTAAAGACGGACATAGGCTAACGCAGGACAGAAGGTCAATTAGGTACACGTCTACATCCTGGGGGAGGAAGGGATGGGAAAAGGGAAAGGGCAACCGACACTCTCACTCATCGAACGAAAGGCAGCCATAAATGACTACTTCCCGCCGATCTTTTGTGAGAGGGTGGTACTTCCCCGGTCGAGCCAACGTTTGTTCGAGCTGTAGTACCTAACTAACCACAGCTAGGCTAGAGCCTAGCTGTGGTTAGTTAGGTACGGTACGGTAGGTAGTAGGTACGGTATGGTTAGTTGGTAGACCAACTTCAAAAAATATTAATTTGTTCATAGAAGAATATATTTTCTATAATTTCTTAATTCATATTCTTGTCATATACAATCTAAAAAATAATGCATTTTATACAATATATCGCGCTCTGTTTGCAGCCTATTTTCTACAGATAATGAAGTTCTATGTGACGTAAATTATATTTTGGATTCTCTTGATATGATAAGTTTTTAGTATAAATACTACAGGTAAAATAGCATTCAACAGTAATTGGGATAAACAAACAGGTAAGTGGTATTACAATTACAGGCTTGATATTAAAATTTGTAATAAACCATTATTTTTATCATTCTATTTATATTTATATACAGATGAAAATAACATTATGTTTGATTAACAATTTAATTTTTTTACAGTCCTGAGTGAAAATGAAATTCCCCCTCTTCGCTATCCTTCTCGTCGTCGCAGGCGCTAACGCCTTGCCTTCGTCGAGTGATGTTCTTGAGAACGGTAGGTGGTAAAATTGTAATTCATTGTTACATATAAATAGAAGATTTCGATTGACTTTATAGCAAGGAAATATGTTATTAACTGTCATAATATTTATAATGAACAGAGTCTTACAACAAACTTGGCCAAAGGAACTTCGTTGAAGATCAAATCAGATGGGTCATTGAACAGATCAGTAATGTAGTGAAACTAATTGGCCTCGACCCTATTGAAGTTGAAGAGAAAAGTATTGACATCGATGTTCCAATAGTGTAAGAGATTTTTCGTATGACCTTTTCGTGCAAATTCAGCGTAGTTTGTTTAAACATAAGTGAAACTAAAGCTTTTAAATTAATTATGTTCAATATATTTTTAGAGATATTAGTATCGCCGCCATCCTCGAAGGCCTTAAGTTTGAAGGCCTCAGTAACATACGCATCAACAACCTAGAGTACAGTTTCATCTTCAGCAGACTTCGCCTCGATGTTTCCCTTCCAGAGATCAGTCTTATTGTTGGTATGAAAATTATTAAGAACTTACACGAACTGATCTGCAACATGTGTGAAGTATATTTTACAAAGAAATTTTCAGTAGTCATCAGACTAAAATTGAATGACATTACTGTGGAAAAGATAGTAGCATAACTAAATTATTGCTATTAAATTTCATACTATTTTCTAGGAAACTCTGGACTGGAGGTGAACTTCTTCGACAGAGAATTTCTAGGTGTTTTCAAGGGCAGGTAAGACCGAAATAAAACCATTTCAAAAGTTCATTGTAAAATATATCATTGTTTCATATTTAATTTGAATTTTCAGCCTCTACATCAGGTCAGTCCGTCTTGCAGCTGAGGTTCACGTCAATGCTGATCTCGAAGGAATTTCTCTACGTAGCATTTCAATTAACTTCAGCCTCGGTGGAATTGAGGTAGAGCAACTATAATATAGTCTTTCGGTTCAAAAAATATATGAAAGTAATGTTCTTTTAAATATGCAGAGTTTTTAAGAATATTATTTTATTACTCATTGTGTTTTTTATAATAACTTTTCAGTCCGACTTGTTTTTGGAGATGCAAGGAAACGACCGCTCTGATGTCGTCAACAATTTCCTTAACAAGAGAATCCCTGATTTCTTGAAGGACAACGAGGTAACTGTTTGATAAACGAATGAGTGCATTATTTTTTTCTATATTCTCTAAGTACTGAGAGATACAATTTATATCTTTTTTTGTTCCACAGAGGGATATCAACAGAGTCCTTGAAGACGTTGTCAGCTTCATTCTTAACCGCATTTGGAGCTCTTAAGAAATATTTATTTCCTTGTCGTGGAATTTATAAAATAAATATATTTACTTAAGGAAGATGTAGTTTTTATTAGGACAGTAAGCATGTACATATATGGAATGAATATTAATGTAAACTACAATATAGTTTAATGCCTATTTCCATTTTTTACATTTAAAAAAAATGTAATACAATGAGATGGTACCATAATTTTCTCTAAAATACTGTATTTCAGCATTGTATGTTATTATAATGTGTGTTAGGCAGACCTTGGCTAAAGCTGGGAAAATAGCTAGGTAGAAGATGTTATTATAATGTGTGAGCATATTACGTATTAATAAATGTAATAGTTGAGCATATTACGTATTAAACGCGACTGGATCAGCGTGAAGTTCAGAGTTATTCTCTCTAAGGCCCGGGATTTTGATTGGGATCGAGATTGATAGGAAAAGTAGCTTATGCCTTTCCCTAGGGTTTCATCTATCCCTACATATTCAGAGGCGTAAAAAACCAATGTTTGTTTAGTTTCGGCCCATAAATCTTTTTATTTTCTGTCACCTTACCTACACTAATAGTTTTATGAAAATTATAATATAATTTAATTCTTATATTATTTTAAATAACTTGGTGGACAATTTGTTTTTTCTCTTGGAAACATTGGATTTTTCTGTTTTTCAAATTGAAAAAGAACTTTACTTAGAAATAGAAAATTTTACAATCATGCATTTTTTTTTGAGCGAATTGAAATACAGTTACGAAATAAATGTAGAATTTGAACAATAATTCATAGAATTTATTAAAATTGAGAGTGATATAATATACTTTAGTACTTTACTTATTCATTAAAACACATTTTAAAGTTTTTATATTGATTATAAATAAGAACATCTGATCTGCAATCAGAAATGAATCTAGACTTGAATATTTTAACCTGTAAAATCATAACGTATGCAAAACCACTAAAATTGTAAGGGTTACGTGAAATCCATAAGCAAGATATTCCCTTACATTCTTTTATGAGACAGATTGATGCACCATTTAAAAAATTGGCCAAATTTCTTTCAGTTATCATCACCTCTCTGGGGCTATACAAAATCTATAGAGATTCCTGCCAGTTGAGCGTGTCCTGGTGACAGTATGGTCAGTTTTGATGTACAGTCATTATTCACTAGTTAACCTGTTCATGACTGCATTGAGGTTGTAAGTGGTAAGTTAAAAGATAACAATATATATAAAGAATACGCAAAGCTACAAAAGCATTGCGTAACATTTGGATACGTTTTGTGGAAAGATGAATTCTATATAAATACTAGAAAACCCGGCGAACTTCGTATCGCCCTATAATCAAGAAATATCTAATATGTACGTTTTTTTATTTATATTTTTGGAGTTTACCTATTAAAGCCATAAATCTCCGTGTTTTGAAGTTCGACAGAATGATTGACATATTAGTTGGTTGTCAAATCTAATGTAAAAAAAACGTTTGTATCAACAACTACTAATAAATTAAAAATTAATTAAAAAGACATTGTCCAGCGGCCAAAATTGTGAATCCAAACCATTCCCAGATCCCCTTGACCACACACAAAAAATTTCATCAAAATCGGTCCAGTTGTTTGAGAGAAGTTCAGTGACATACACACTCACAGAAGAATTATATACATATATAAAGATAAATGGAATTGCAATTGGTTTACGCCGTTGTCGCTGGTATATTCATGGAGGACTTCGAGAGGCTAGCCCTTTGCTTTTCTCCAATAAGACCTTTAATATATTATAATCATCATCAAAACGCAACCATCAAAGGCTACTTCACGCCGATCTTCTGTGACAGGGTGTTACTTCCCCGGTCGAGCCAGCCCATGTTCGAGCTGCAGTAACTTGACCACTTCTACTATCTAAAAACTTAAAGATTTTGAATGTCACTACATTAAAATAAGTAAAATTAATCGGAAAGCAATTTGTCTTATCCCGGTGAACTTCTGTCTCACATTCCCGTAACATCAACTACATCCACGCAACATAGCAACCGACGATAATCCTAAGCTTTAAAATGATCTATAAATATTTAAGATCATTTATATTTCATTTCATAGAAGTAATTTAATTTAGTTAGATTAAGGTGTTGTCGTTGTTATAAAACTTTTTAGACAGTGCTGTGAATACCTGTAATAGGTGACCTGAATATGAAGACCTATATTTTTGACTGTATTTTTGTGTAAATGTTGCATGTGTACACCAACAGGTGTTCCTAAGTAAATAAAATAAATTTCCGATTAATTGGGTGCAAAAGCATCGTTATATAGAAAACATCATGATATCCTTAAATTTCCCCCTACATTTATAGCTTGAGGAATTTACAAATTGAGTGCACAGGTCAGACTATAAGTAGAAATAGTAATTGTAGAAGGTCATCCGTGGCTATAACCTTATATATACTTTTTATTATATGACTTATATTGATGTAAGAATGTACGTTTCGAAAAGTATTGCTTGATTGACCCGTTCCCATAATTTTCAACTGAGTTCGTAGGAGACTATCAAGACATGTAATTGGTTATAACTACAGTATTAAACATTCTTTTTAATTCCCTGATTCTCCTATGTGGAATTAAATTCACATGTTACTAAAAATGTATTTGCAAAAAAATTTTTATATTTATTCTAGAAGTATGGGAGAAAATAATAGCTTTGTAATAGTTAATATTATGCAGATTTTATCAAATTGATGGGTATCATTACAAATAAGAAACCTGCATTTGTAATCAATCTAAATAGTTTGAAAACGATTAAATTTTGTTTATATTCACGTCTTTACATATTTTAATCTCATTGCTTTTCAAAACTATTGTCATTTATTAAGAAATGTTTAATTGATATAATATTAACTTTTCTACTTTATTCGTTTATTTATAGTAAGATCGAAGAAATATCTTTGGAAATGGGATCAAAAACACAAAAAAATAACTTGTGGCAAAACATTTTAATTTATTTGCTCCTCCAAACTTCCAACAACGAAAATAATTTATAAAAAAATAGTCACTCGCTCCGAAAGTTTGTTATAAATGAGAGAAGCGTATCAATTTTTCTTTTAATTGTTCCAGTAGTACTCGAGAATGGTTTTAACAAGACCTCCAAGAATTCTGTCGATGTCATCCTATAAAACATATATAGAATTTAATAAATCTACTGCTTATCTTCTTATCAACTTATATTATGTAAGTTACTGACCTTGTTGTTCTCGAGGAAGGCAGGGATTCTCACGTTAAAGAGATTGTTCACGTATTCAGTACGGTCAACTCCTTGAGCCATAGCTTTTAAGTCGGCCTAAAAATATGCAATGCAATTGTTACAAACAGCGCTACATAATATGTATATATATATTTGAAGCAAACATGAGCGTTGTATTTTTATAGCCAGTAAGTAATTTTAATATTAGTCTAGTTTCGTGGGTAATGTTTTGTCGTCTATTTGGACTGATAGATTAACATTAATATTTTACATACTTATGTAAAAGCAATAGTTACAAACAGCGCTACATAACATATACATATATGCATCAAATATGAGCATTGTATTTTCCTTTCCAGTAAGTAATATTTATTAATATTCTTGTTTCGTGGGTAATGTTTTGTCATATATTTGAACTTAACGTCAATTAAATTTTTAAAATATTCATAATAAATTAACGCATACCTCAATGCCTTTCAGACTCGAGTCTAATGAGATACTGCGTATGGAGGGTTGTCCGATAATATTGACATCAACGTAGACAACACCTTGGATGCGAAGTTCATTGATGGACAGACTGAAATATATTCAACAGATTTATAGTAATGCGTTTAAAATAAAAAGGTAAAGGATTGTTGTGTTAAATATTAAAATAATGAACATTAAAAATTTTCTAACCTGCCACTCATTTCTCCTTCAACTGCATTTCCAGCTATAATGCCTTGGAAGTTGCAGTTGCCTAAAAACAAAAACTTTGTTGGAAAAAGAAATAAAGATGATTTTTTTACAACAAATTTGTCGAATAAAAAATAAAATAAAAAGGATGTAGAATTACGTACCCATTGAAACTTTCATTTCAGGAATAGATACATCAATGCGCAATCTGTTGAAGATGTAGCTGTATTCTAAGTGGTTGATGCGGATGTCACTCAAACCAGAGAAATGTAGCTTTTCAATGACACCTATTAGTCTTACGTCTCTGTTGATAAATTCACAGTGTTTATTAATTTTATTCTGTTCATTTGCGCAGAATAGTTATATATCAGAATAGTTTACGTACATACATAAATAAAAAAAATATTTCTAAAATTAAAGTAGCATTATTACATTTTAAAACTATCAGTAAAAATCTCGTTAAAATTGCTCTAGCTGTTTAACGAATACAAAAAGACAAATAACTTTTAATAAGAATGTATAAACACGGATACATTTGACATTTTTCAATTTGTATTTAAAACTATTCCTATTACTTACATAAAAGACGGGTTAATAGAGAATTGTCTCTTTTCTACGTTCAATGGATCGAGACCCGCATTTTTAATTCTTCTAATAATTCTCTCAACCATGTTCCGAACTCTGTCTTCTGCAGGATTTCTTTGGATGGGCTCATCGTCTGCAAGTGATTTAAATCAGTGTTAGCAAAGAAGTCGATATAAATTATTAACCTTATAATATATTTCTTAATTAAAATTACCAAAAAAGTTGTTCTCTTCTGAGGGGAAGGCATAAATGCCTGCTATGAGCAAGACAAGTGCGAAGAGTTGGAGTTTCATATTGTCTGCCAGTTGCGCTATAAAATAAAAAATAATATTATTGTGAGTAAAAGCAAGACAGAAATATGACAAAAGTTTTATTTGTCGCTTTTTTTTTGTTAAATTAGAATAATGAAAAGCAAATGTAGTTTTTTTTATTCTCACCTGTTTGTATCCGCAATAATAATAACATTGCCCTAGTCCTCTACAGTATTTATATTATTTGTTACGTAATCTTATTGATATCATAGCTTACATAAATAGAAATTTTAACTCATAAATCCAATAATCTTCTGTATTATCTACTAATATAATCATTACGTACTTCACTATCATTTTTTTATAATCCTGAAGACCTCCTGTAGTGACATTGGAATTTTTGTAATGTTTTGTTTGATTCTAGAATATTAATAAAACTTTCGTTTATATACAGGGTGACTGGTGAATTACTATCAATATTTAAGGAGCATACTCGGTACATGATTCTCATTCGAATTATGTAAAAAAAATAGGCACTTAATTTTTGACAAAATTTCCGTATAAATAAATAAAGTGTTGACACGTTCCAAGTGTTCCAAGTGTGGACGCGTCTGGCGGCGTGCTGATACAACACAACGCCGCCGCACGCGTGTGTGTGTGTGTATATCTAATCTGTAGGGTGTTCACACGATGCGTAATTAATTACATAACTTTTGGTTAACTTTACTTAGAAGTTTATTAATATTTATGTTATATTAATTTTTATTTTGTCATATATGATCGTCAAATATCACGTCCTCAAGTATCGATAGTAATTCACCAGTCACCCTGTATAACCACGTAGATGATGACTACATTTAAAAAACAAAGTTTGGGCAAAGAATATACTGTGTACCTCAACAATGCGGAGTGTCTTTATTGGCGTTTGTTGTGGCATGAAGAAAAAGGACCAACTCCATTTGAAGCTCTGAGAATGATTTATATGTTGAAGTACATAACATTTTTCAATCCGCTTATACAAAAGTTTTGGGCTTGCTTGAATATGACCAGTACTGGTATGGTAGCTTACAACACTGCATTTTTTTTAAACTCCCCTCGAAATCGGAAATTGTTTTACATTCGCAGTAGTAAGAATTTGCTGTTTGTTCTTTCCTGGGGGATTTAAGACAAACTCAGGTTAACTATGTACAAGCATATCTTAAAACATCGATTTGGTGTTCCTTCACAAAACCTGTTACCTTGTCTAAAATATACGTTATATTTTCAAGAGTCTGTTAAAAATATGAAATTATGAGTATCTTACAAGAAATGTTGTATTTAACATCCCTAAGGATACTAGTGAATACTATTGAAGAGCTAATACAATAGAGCTCCCCAGGTATTCATTGCGTAAAAGACAAGCCTATGGAATGGTATTGCGGACTTGCGGACGATTTTAACTCCGTAGAACGAACAGGCTGCATCAATTAACAATATACTTTTAAAGACATTCGACGGAGAAGAAAATGTATAAATCAATATACGCACCATGCCAAGTCGATTACATTATTAATTATGCGGTAGAATTTGTAAATTCCCAAAAAGCAGCTAGTCTCTCATACTATAGGCTTGCACTGCGAAAAGTACATCGGTAATATTGCCACGTACCTTGAAACTGTCAAAGTAAAAGCTTAACACAAAATTTTGTCGATGCCGTTATTTTGACTTTATGTGCTTCTGGAGAAACGGTGTTTATATCGCGCATTCCCATTATACCAAAATAGCTTCCACTTGACTTTAAACACCTTCAATTTCCTCTGAAGGTTGACTCTGTGATAGGACAGTGGCGTGCACGGAGATTTGAGGTTGGGTAAGCAGGATATGTCTGAAAAATAAAATACAAATTTTCATAATTTCCTCCTCTAAAACATTGATAACGATGATATCCTTCGCAAGTATTGATTTAAATTTTAAATGAAACTTATATTTTTATTATTTTTAACGGGCAAACGAGATGTCTGCCGTGATCACGATTGCTGCAAAGTACATAATCGAAACGTCGGGAGTATGTAGTTTTTAAACATAATACGTAAAGTAATCAAAAAATATTAATTTAATTTAAACATTGATAATATTCGCACATAATGTTACAGCTGCCCAATCAGAACGAATATTTATAAATATATTTTTTATATAATTCTGTTTTTTTGCAAGCGGTATCGTTCTAATGACGTCACAGAGCGAGGTGCACAGTTAATCCGTAGGAGTTATAGGTATATTATATACTATATGAATCTCTCAACTACCTCTGAGTCAGGAAAGTATCTAAAACGATTAGGTACGATCTGTTCATCACAGCTTTATGAAAGTTATTTAATTAGGAATATCCATTACCCAGTGAAGATTCAAACATTCTTATTATTAAGGCGGCCAACTTTCCGAAAACTGAATGCGGGACTTAACCTTTCATGAATGGCGGGGGGGGAGGGGGTTAGGGATTGGGAATGTCATAAAAATCTTCGCAACTGCCCATATTAAGTTTTAAAATACTCTATTACGCGTCATGAGTTCAAAAGAAAGAAGGAAAACGAGATTATCGCGGGCGCGATACGCTTGTCCCTATTATAGGTAATCTGTGTTCCTGCACTGTTGACCGTGGTATGGGTGTTGTGTAGAAGTGTGGCAGAAAAATAGGGATGCGGGACATGCGGGACGCATACAACGTTTTGCGGGACTATTTTACTAATAATTTCAAAGCGGGATTTCGTCTAGAATTGCGGGACGGTCCCGCAGAATGCGGGATGGTTGGCTTCCTTACTTATTATTATCATTTGAAAACAACAAAAAAGGCAGACAAAATAACTTATTTGAGTGTACACAACCTGCTAACTAATTAAAACTATCATAATACTTTTTAGTAAATCGAATAACATTAACTTTCTTTAAGTTCAATCTTAACTGGTCACACACCTTGACTTTACACTTATTTTAATTTTATTATCAAACAACAATATTGAAAATCTAATCGTAACTCATTTCAATAATCACATATCACAAGCACAGAACTCTCAGTTATAATTTTCCATAATTCGTTAATAAATTAATCCACTGTTTACTAATTAAAACTTATTCACTTGCGCTTAGATTGACAGATGACAATATTCAATAATAATAGAATGGCGAAAAAAATATATGAACAGTTTACCGACCAATCAGAGAGCCCCATTTCATTTGACAATTAACGTACTTTCTACGACATTTAAAACAATACAAAATAATCAGTGCTTCCCGAACACCATTCCGTATCTCAGTTATTTCAAAACTGAATGATCTATAATTTTGAACACATAGATGTGAAAGTATAAGGCTTAATATAAAAAATAATAATTTGCAAAATTATATTTATTAATTTATTTAAAAAATAAATATAAATATATTAATATATGTTTTAGCACCGTATCAAAAAATGCGCAAAATTTTTCGTCTCCCTGTGTAAACTAATATATAAACATCGTAATACAATAAATATCTTTGACAGCGGTAAAAGGTTCGGTCTCGTTATAAAAAAGTTACCCGAAATTTATACCATCTTAAACTATTTGTATTAATTGTAATTTAGTTATTTACTATATAAAATATTATTTAAGAAACGTTATAAGGATTAAAAAATATATAAAACTTATACATTTATATAAAAACTTTCGAGTAATGTGGCGTTGAATTGTAGTAATGTACTGGGCCAAAATCACACCATTGAACATGAGTTAACTTTGATACCTTTAAATATATATTATGGTTTGCAAAAAATAATAAAAAATATATAGAAAAGAAAGCTTATTTAAAGGACTATATAAATTAATTAGTTTTATTCCATAACAACGACTTTCATGTTTTGTTGCTTTGAGACGGCCTTGTATGGGGCTTTCCCACATGCGCCGCTCTGGCTGCATAGCGGCACTAGCATTTATCAGCGACCGATCGAAAATGTTTCGTTTTTACATTGATAGATGTCTCTTATTAACAAACCATGAATCAAATGTCATTATAACATATGTCTGTAAACATTTGTATTTCGTAATGTATGACTAAAAGTATGTAAGAATTAAACAAAATAAGTTTAGTTGTTATATGCGTAGGGTATGCAGTGCTTATTTGCATCTATGGTGTGCACGCCACTGCTAATAAGAAATAAAGTCATCACTCATCAAACCAGTTTTACTTAGACCTATTTATACAATGTTCCAGAAATGGGTAGTGTAGTTCTTATTATTAATTAAGACATTACTATCTACCTACTATTCTGTTAAAACAACTTATATAAAAATAGAAGTGAATTATAATAAAAGATAATTAACACAAACCCCTGTCGTAGCTTAAAAGCAAGTCACTTGTCAAAATTTTGGCAGTGACCTATTTGTGTGGCGCGCCTAATTCAAAACTTTAAAACACGTGGTGATGATAGATTGCATATTAAATCAGTGTTAGCAAGGTCGTCGATATAAATTATTAATCTTATAATATATACTTAGGAAACACACTTTTAATTTGAACCGAACCTTTAAATTCCTGAACGCATCCGAAGTGGTATTAAAGCGATGACGCTTGGTTTCAGGTTTGTTCACTTTTTACGCGGGAAAGTTATTTGTGAACAAGACTTGTAGTTTTGTAAATTGAATTTAACTTATTTGAGGTGTAATCGGTTAAGATAATAGTATGTAGTTTGTTCTAGTTAGGCTTTTATTTGTTATTTAAAAGTACTGCCTTTATAAGAAAACTATATTTTTTAATGATTTTGTTAGAATCCTAATTTCAGAAGTGTGATACCATTCACGTTTACAATTATATTTATGTAATACGCTTTTGATTACTCAAAAAGTAATAAATAAAATGAAACACGAATTCTGTTTTAAAATCTACTTTAACAATTACTTGCGTGTGAATATGACTGATAGACAATATTAGGCTCGCAATAAATCGCGTGGATAAGACAAGGACCGTTGGTTTTAGAACAGAACTCGATCTAAGAATATAAGTTTGGATTACGATAAAGAAATAGGACAAAT